GATGCCATTCACTTCCCCCCTCACACTGGTGCAGCTCTGCCGGCTGGCTCCCTGCCCCTCTTTTGCCCCTCCTCATATTCTTGCCTAGGGATAGGGAGTCACGGCCTCTTTCACACCTGCATCTGGACACACAAGTGGGGAAGGTTATGCCGATGGGGGGAGGCAGGATTTAGACCTCCGTCCACTTTTGCCTGTGTGGCTGTGGAAAATTAACCGACAATTCTGTTCGCTTTTCATTTTGCCGTTTCCTGAAGAAAACATCCTTACTCATGTGCATACCAAGCTAGAATGGCTTCTGACTAAAAACTAAATTGTAAATTACAAGATTATACCCACGGGAAACAAAAAAAGGAGTTGGATACATTTATTTGGATAGGGAAATATGAATAATGAGAACAGCTGCACTTAGAATAAGTAGGATAAAGCATCAGGGATAAACACCTTCCCACTTCAGGGCACAAACCTCAAGCTGGGGATGGGTTGTGGTGTTAGGAAACTGCTTCCCCCCATGGCAAGTTTTTCCATAATAGCCCACTATGGGATTTTTTGCACTTTTCTTTTTGAAGCAGCTGATAATGCCCATTCTCAGAGACAGGATTCTGAATGAGTTTGCCCACTTGTCGGATTCTGTCTGGCAGCCCCTGTGTTCCTAGAAACTCCTGATATCCACTCTGTGCAAGGTAATGAGTCAGAATAAAGGACCAGGGACCTACTTCATAAAATAATTTTAAAAATATCATTTTGGAGCGTGGATTATAATGATTAGTTTTGCATTCAGGTGATAAGAACTGATGTTAGAATCTGCTCTGTTGTATGGCTCAAACACTGAGAGCCGTACTTCCCAGAAAAATAACTGGTGTGCTCTGCCTCAGATGGATTTTCCATGAACTACAGTGTTACTGCCACTTTCAGTGCTACAGTACAATAGAACTGAGACACAGTTCTCTGTATCTTACAAATAAGTAGACATAATGCTCATTATTCTTCCAGTATTTAATGAAAAATATATTTCTTCAGGTCTCAAACAAGTTGAAATCACTTCTAAAATCTAGTTCTAGGGATTGTTGTGCAGGTAAGTGAATTATATTTGTGTTTCCATGGTGACTGCTAATGTAAAATAATTAAGTAGGAAAAATAATGAGGAGAAAACTACTTCCTCTTTTAAGGATTAGGGTCTTATAAATTGATTCAACCTAGCTATTTTTAGTGCATGTAGCCTTTGCAAAGAATAGTAGAAAATTGTGAGCCGATTAAATTGTATTAAAAGGTCTCTCTGCATTGATCAAGAGACTGTCTTTACCAGTTGATGAAGTGAAAATTAAAAAATTGTCTTTTTTTCAACTTGTGTGCTCACTAATATATAAATATGTAAAAGTTTGATGCTTGGCCTCAATTGCTTTTATGTGACAAGACTCAGTTTTTCAGAAATCAGAAAGTTTAATTTATACCATGTTTGAAGTCTCCGAAATACAAGACAAACAAGACCTACAAGAACCCCTTTTTGGAACCTAACTGGAATAAAATTTGTGGCTCAGAAACCTTGCCAGTGGGAATATCGCAGAACAGAGATCATCAGTCATATTTGCACTAAAATGCTATTCTGAATAAGAAGGCTTGTTTATGGTTAAGGTGCTAAACTAAGACTCAGAAGATGTGGGTTCAGTCCCCAGCTCTGTCAGACTTCCTGTGTGACCATGAACAAGACACCCAGGGCCCCTCCAGACACGCAGGTAAAGGCTTGATGGGATCTAATATACGATCCACCCAATTGTGCCTCCTGCCAAGCCATATGTGCATGGCAGGAGGCACGATTGTGGGATTGCGCTGCTGCAATTTCCAAGCCATGGGGGTACTCTACTGGGATCTCCCCAGCCTCAAGGGTGCATGGGACACCCCTGCAGCTGGGAGATCGTAACAGCTGTGATCTCCCAGTCCTGGAGGTGTGTGGAGCACCCCCATGGCTGGAAGATTGCAGTTGCTGTGATCTCCCAGCTGCGGGGTGCCCTACTTATCCCCGGGGCTGGGAGATTGCAGTCTCATGCCATAGCTGCCAGGGCTGATAGTTTGCTCAGCTGCAGGACTACCAGCCCCAGATGTGCATGGTACAACCCTGGGGCTGGGAGCCCAGTCAACTGATGGGGCTCTCAGCAGCAGGGGCAGACCTTGCTATGCATGCAAATTAAAGCTGGATACTATAGCAACGGGATAGCAACCAGCTATAAAGTTAGTACACATTTTATAGACGTCTAACTTTATAGCTGGTTAGACCTTTTTATGTTGTGACAGGCACTTTGCGCACGTAGCTGTTCTCAGTTAATTGCACAATTAATCAGTTAATTGTGTAATAACTGTAATGTGTAGAAGGGGCCTCAATCTCATATGCCTCAGTTCTTCACTTGTAAATTGGAGATAACACTACATCTTTTTTGGCTGTTTATGTTGTAAGCTATTCAGGAATGGAACTGCCTCCTCTTTTATGCACAGTGCCTATCACAAGTAGGCATGACAACAGTCAGGGCTGCTAGACACTAGTACAATATAAATTAATGTATTAATTATAATACTTGCAAGAGTTATAAATAATACAATTACAGGGGTTAGTAATTAACAACATAGGAAAAGAGATAGGATGATGAGTGACATCTAAAAGGTATATTTTCAACTGAGCTTTGATATGGCACAGAGACTCTGAAAGGTGTTGAGGAGAAAGAGTTGACACTGAGAATGGACATTGTATGGAACATCAGAAAAAAGTATGAGGGAAGCCAAAAGAAAAGAATGGGAATGGGAAAGGGAGCTGTCCTCTCCATTGCGTGTATTAATACAATACTTTTCATAAAGGTCTTTATCTTTTTCTTTCCAATGCCATATTGATTTCTCTACTTGTGATGTCCAGACTTACTATAGCAGACAAAGAAACCCTTAACTTCATTTTAGCAGGCAGTCATTAAAGCTGCAATGTTTTCCAACTATTTTGTTTCAATATGCAGTTCCTATAATAAGAATTCTGCTGTAATGACTCTATCCCCTGATATTTTGAAACTTAAAAAATGCATTCATGCAGAAAACAATACTTTCCAGAAAGTAACACTGTAAAGTGATAAAAAATATGTTCTTTAAGAGTGCTTCAAAATGCAGTGACATCAAGCAAGGTAAGTATAAGATTAGGCCTCTTTCATATTAAAAGACTACACTGTAAGAAAACATTATTGTTTCCTTACATTATGTCAAGACAATCATAGGATAAGCTCTGCTTTTCTCTGCCCACTGAATACAGTTCATTTATTATGTATCTTTGTTCTTTTCACCTGAATTCTGATCACCAATCCCATTACATTAGGATTGCTACCAACATTTGACAGGCTGTGTACATGGTAAACTTACTGGGCCTCAAGTAAGCCACTGTGCCATTCTCTCTCACTGGTCCAGAAACTGCAGTATTTAGACCCGGAGCAGCAATGGTTCTAGGTATTGTGAACCATTAAAACTAGAAATGAGTAGCAACTCTTTTAGTGGAGAATATAAATTCACTAGATCTGAAGTAGCAATGGCCTTTAGTCTTGGAAAGTCACAAGATAATGAGCACTAAAAATCTCAGCTTTCTAAGTCCAAGTTGGACAACACTAACTATTAAAAATAATAGCATTGATTTTTTTCTGCCACTCTGCAAGTACAGTAGGTTTACTTCTGGGTCAGAAAACTTATGATATAACTAGAGCCATTAGCATTGCAGTTTTACTCCTGAAAAATACCCTCAACTATGCTGGCTGCTTATACTTTTCATAAAAGTATCCCAAATGACTCTTTGGCAGGCAGGGATTGGTGCAGCCCAGCATGTTTTGTGTAGCTCTTTTTCCTCAGCTCTCCATTCAGAGATACTGAGTGGGGATTGAACCTAGTTCTGGAAACAAAAACAGTGGGGGGCAGCCTTGTTGGCAGATGTACCACAAATTAGCCCTGCACCCTCATCAAGTGCAGCTCTGATTCCCCTTCTCCTGCTCCATCTGCTACTCTGCTTTCTGCTCTCGGCCCTATGCTCCCTGCCTTACCTGCTGCTCGGGTTTCTTCTTCCTTCCCTGTGCTCTGTGTGATTTGCTGCTTTCTGCCCTATTTGCAACTGTGCTGTCTGTCTACTTTCTGATCTCCTGTGTCACACACAAAGGCTGCCTGTGCCACTTGTGGCATCTGTGCCACAGGTTGGGCACCCCTGAACTAAAGCCACATAGAGGTAAATGAAAGGAAGAGTTTTCATCTTTGTTTCTACTACTGTTTATCTAGCTAAAGATGGCAATGTGCACTGACAATTCCAAAGGTTAATAAAACATAGATATAAACAGAAGGAACGTAAACGTCATTTCTGCTGTCTTTGCAACCAAACTTAAGAATTATGTTCACAGAGGATATAAAACACAATTGCAGCTAAACAGTGTTCTAATGTGGTTTGGCTGGCCAATGCTGATGGACCCAAACCATGCTCTAGTCTAGGCTCTCAGCTTTAATTTACTATATCAGAACACTAACTTCAAATCCACTGGAATTCTTATAGCATTATTCCCTAGATTCTGAGAGCGTATGGCTTTACAGACATATTGTAAGTCCTGCTTTACAAGGAGGTGTTTAGCACCTGAGGTACAGGATGTCTTTTCATTCTAAAATGTACATATTTTACTTCTATCCATAGCCAGGCTTGCAGAGAAGACTTTCATTTTTCAAGGTACAATTTTGTAACTGCAAACTTTTATATTAGCACTTCTTGAATGGAAGAATCAATTCATTATTACAGATAGGCCTATCCCTGTACACCCACAGATCAAACAGTGGTAGATTTATCTACTAATTATTTGAATCCCCAATTCAAATGTAGGCAACAAATGTAGGTGCAAAACGGCTTCTAAAGAAACATATGCTGGGTTGAATCCTAATTAAAGAATGAAGCCTTTCAAACAAAAAGGAGCCCATTCTCCTTGCTATAGTAAAATCAACAAAAACTAGCATCTTACCAAAAAATCAGCGTTTCCAGGAAGGAGATTCCAACATTGGATGCCCCCACTACTACAATTCTTGCATTGACAGATACTTTCGGTTCTAATGTCAGTTTTCGATTTATATGGTTCAAAGAGTAGCTTAACTGGAACATAAACAGAAGAGACATATATGTACATTAAAAAAAACCCAGGAAGAACCTGATAGAACCATTAGGACATTAGCAGCGCATTACTTCATTTACTAAAAACTTCTGTTATGGCTCATTGATATGACCAACAAAATGAATTTCCTGGAATCACCACAAACCAAACAGGTACACAAAAATGCTGCCATATCATTTGTTTAGTAGGTTGGATTTAAACGTTTCAGTTTTTCTTGCAGAAGTGGTAATGGTATCTTTGTAAAAAATGATTGAAACAGTGGCTCAGCTTTGAAAAGCATGCTAGAGAAGGGAGCGATTGAAGGCTAATGCACAGTATGATGGCTAAAGTGCCATGGTGGGAAGTCAAGAACAGTCGCTTCGAAACCCTCTCCGAGTAAAGAGAAGTGCAGAACTCAGGACTATCAGCTTCCCACAAGACTGCACCAAGCCATTGAGCTATGGGGGCAAAAGACACACAGTCCTTCTCTGTTCTTCAGCTTAAGTCTGATGTCACAGGTTGTGGCTGACTCCATGTGCAGGTGTCTAATGATGCTACATGGCCATAAGGGGTGCATGTATGTGTTTAGGCTGCTACTGAAAATGCCCAGTCTGTACTACTACATAGGTTTCACTAGCCAACAGAGAGCTGCCAGAAAGGACGAGAGAGAGACAAGAAATGATAGTGCATTAGACAGAACATTTGGCTGTGTGTTGTATGTAGTTTTTAAATTTCCCAGAATCAGTTTTCATCTTGAAGCATTTCGCACTTTGTTTTTGTTGTACCCATACACAAGCCACAGGATATATAACTGTAGATTCATGTGTGCACTGAAGGGAAGAATAGAAAACAGAGCTACTTTTATTGTTTGTCAGACACACTTTTCTTACTGTACATTTCTATACTGTTGCTTACTCAGGAAGCAAATCTAAAGCTTCCAGCAGGTTTCACACTATCATACTTAGGAAACAGAGCAGGTAACAACACAATTCTTTCTAATTCTTACAAGATTTTTAAAGAATTGGAAATTTCTCTCTATTATAGAATATTAGCTGACAAAGTAGTACCTCAACATATTAAGAATTAAGTAAAATATTGACAGAAAGGATACTGTAAAGATGCTGCTTATAACAAAAAGCACAAGAGTAGAAAAAGTTTGGAGAAACAGTTTGCCTCAGACAAGGAACTTTTATAATATTGGAGACCCAGAGGTAAGATTTCAGCACGCTGGATACTCAATTCAGTGAAAACTCCTATTAGGATGAACAGAAATTGTAAACATAACTGCCTCAACTGTCTTAAAGAAAGGAAGAGGAGTTGACCATTCACATCCTAGTAGTACTGTATACCAAAAAATGTTAAAAAGTGGCAGAGTTAAATGTGTGCATTTGCTTGTCAATTTTTTTCTGTTTTTTTTTACTGCCAGATAAATGTTCTTCTAGTTGTACTTTTCTGCGGTGCAATGATGACACCCAGTGGCCAGCTGGATTAATCTCAATTATGCGATTTCTCCAAGAACATTCCAGAAGCTATCCTAGGAAATTTTGTATTCTGTAGTAATTTGTTCAATCCTAATTAGAAGTCAAATGTGAAAAGTCTAGCACATCTTCATTTGATCTCTCACTCTTTAGCTGCTACCAGTTCGTAGAGACATTGAATCAATCATAGAAAATTAGGGTTGGAAGGGACCTCGGGAGGTCATCTAGACCACAGCTTTCCAAACTTTTCATGTTGGTGACACACTTTTTAGACATGCATCATTTCGCGACACAGTAATTCAGTTTCGGGGGAGGGGCCAAGGGAAGCAGACGCGAGTAAGGGAGCTCCGCGGTGCCCTTCCGCAAAATTTTCTGCATTTCGCATGACACACCTACACACTGCCGCCGACACACTAATGTGTCACGGCACACAGTTTGGAAAGCTCTGATCTAGACTGTCGCAAAGCACTGAGGTGCCCTGCTCCCAGAGGGCGGAAACTGCTAGAGAAAGAGCCCTAGCAGGGAATAAGGAGCACAGCTGTGGGTTGCCCGGGGCAACCAAGGAGATCAGCTGATGGGAAGGGGCAGGGCGTGGCCCTCATAAAGCCCAGGGGCTGAGGCCAGGCTGGCAGTTCCCTGCCAGCAGCTCCGGGAGCAATGAGAAGCCTGACTGGAGGTACCGCTAGCAGAGTAAAGGGGAGCAGCTCCAAGATGCCTGAGCAATGTTGTTACAGCCAGGTGGCTTATGTTTAGGTTATAGCCACGAGGCTGGAGTTTCTGTTTGGTTTTGATGTTATACCGGTGGTTTGGGTGAGGCTATAGGGGTTGGAGGAGGCCTCATAGGGGACCCACAGTAGCGTGGGGATCCCAGCGCCAGTAGAGGCGCAGCTTATGGGGTACTTAGACCCCAGCCCCAGAGAGGGGTGTTTGGGAAGCCCCTAGTGTGGGCATGGCAAGCCCCAGAGAGGGGGCAGCACTTAAGAAGGCCCTAGAGGAGAGGGCGACGGCACAGAGAAGGCCTGGAGTGGGCGTGGAGAGCCCCAGGAGGGGGTGGCAATGTATGTAGAGAGAGAGAGAGTGACAGTCCAACGTCCATTCCAACTGCAAGGCTTGGGGCGTGGTATAAGGGGTGGTTGGAGCCACGCATAGCCCATAAGGCTAGGGTGCCCCGAAGCACCCGTTTGCAGGACAAGACCCACGAGGGGTCCGGGAGTCTACAGGACCAGAGGTTACAACGGACTGTGTCCAAGAAGACATGAGGCAGCCTCCCTAATCCATATTAGATCAAAGACACGGTGGGAGAGAATCAGAGGGTGCCCTTGGGCCAACTTGGCACAGAGGAAGGGGCCTTAAGGAGATCACGGCCCTCCTATAGGACCCTGCCGTGACATAGACCAACTCTCTGCTCAAAGCAGGACCATCAGCAACTAGATCATCAGCTAGACCAACTAGACCAGCCAAGGCTTTGTCTACCCAGATCTTCAAAACCTCCAAGAATGAGGATTCCACCACATCTCTGAGTAACCTGTACCAGTGTTTTACTATCCTCCTAGTGAGAAAGTTCTTCCTAATATCTAACCTAAACTTCCCTTGCTGCAACTTGAGACCATTGCTCCTTGTTCTGTCATCTGCCACCACTGAGAACAGTTTAGCTCCATCCTCTTTCAAAGCCCCCTTCAGGTAGTTGAAGGCTTCTATCAAATCCCGTCTTGTTTCCTATTCTGCAGACTAAATAAGCCCAGTTCTTTCAGTCTTTCCTCATTAATCATATTCCCCAGCCCCCTCACCATTTTTGTTCTCCTCCGCTGGACTCTCTCCTATTTGTCCACATCTTTTCTGTAGTGGGGGGCCCAAAACTGAACACAGTACTCCAGATGGGGCCTCACCTGGGCTGAGCAGAGGGGAATAATCACTTCCTTTGCCCTGCTAGCAACACTCCTACCAATACAGCCCAGGATGCTGTTAGCCTTCTTGGCAACTAGGGCACACTGCTGGCTCATATTCAGCTTATTGTCCACTGTAACCCCTATGTCCTTTTCTATCTCCCAGCCAGTCAGCCCCCAGCCTGTACTGATGCAAAGCCCTAGTCCTACCCTCCAGTGTATTTACTACTCCCCCCAGCTTGATGTCATCTGCAAACTTGCTAAGGGTGCGTTCTATACCATCTTCCAAGTCATTATTGAAGACATTGAGCAAAACCAGCCCCAGGACCGACCCCTGAGGCAGTTCACTTGATACCGGCTGCCAACTAGACATCAAGCCATTGATTACTGTTTTCCGAACTTGATGATTCAACCAGTTTTCTATCCATCTTACAGTCCATTCACCCAGCCAATACTTCCTTAGCTTGCCTGCAAAAATGTTGTGGCAGACTGTATCAAAAACCTTGCTAAAATCAAGGTATATCACATCCACTGGTCTCCCTGCATCCATAGAGCCAGGAAAACCCACATCCACAGAGCAAGGTATATCACATCTACAGTCTCCTCACATCCACATGTCATGATCAGGAAAAGTTGTTTATGAAAAACATGGCAACCCTGTAAAAATTTTGCTTTTCTGGGGATTTTATAAATTTTAGTATATAATTATAAACAATATAAGTAAGAAACGGTACTATTTAACATACATTGACATTTATGATAGCCAGTAAATGCATTTATAATGTTTCACCATTTTGGAAGCTTGAAGATGTTTATTTGACAAAAAGTGAACATGCGACAGATTGCAGAAATCATTAATGCGAATGATTTGCTGGACTTACCATCAGAGCTTAGTTTACAAAGTAAAATTTGCAACATACCTTTATGTAATATGTTAAATTTACACACCTAAATGGAATAGTCTGGGGTCCAACTCTGCAAGTGCTTTACATGGTAATCATACTTTACCTCACTTAGAGTGTTGTATTATTGAAAACTGAATTGAAATAAGACTCTCCCAGTCCCAGCTCTGTGGTTGTGGACCTGAGGATGGGAGATAAGAATCTCCCAGCCCCCACTCCACAATCATAAAATGGGGGCTGGGAGGTCCCTGGTGCTGGGGCAGGGGGACAGTATCCCCACCTGGGCTCCAGTGGCAGAGCCCACCCTGGCAACAGGCAGTTCCTGGGGCCAGGGAGCAATGTCCCAGCCCCTGCCAGGAGACAGTTGTCTCCTGGCCCCATGTTCCCCACCAGCCCCTGGAAACTAGAACTCCTCTTGGCTGGTGCAGGGGGCTCGTGCAGGGCCAGTGGCAGCAGGAGCGACTGCTGCCATGCGCAGCAAATTTGCTCCTGCTTCTCTGCACGTGTAGCTGCCTGCCTGGGGTGGGTTTAGTCTAGACTAAATTACTCTAGAGTAAACCGACCCCAGAGCATTTGCACATGTAGATGCACCCCTTCATTATTTGTATTAATACATGCACTATAGTGTAAGATTTTTTATAATCATAAATATGTGAATGGAAATTAGAATTGGTTTTCAAATGGTTTCATCTCTGTTATAAATCCTAAATACCATTTGGATGTTTCAGAGCCCATACCT